TCTGAAATGATCTCAGCCATCAGGGGAAGAAACTCCAGATGAATTCGAGATAAAAGTTTAAATCAACTAGAAGAAAACACTGCAGAATATATCTGTGTGTATGAGTGTGTGTGCTTTTTATTTTTGGCATATGTAATATTGGAGAATACCTCGCTTTGGGAGTTTGGGATTGACATGTACACACTGCTATATTTAAAATGGATAACCAACAGGGACCTACTGTATAGCACAGGAAACTCTGCTCAATATTATGTAACAACCTAAATGGGAAAAGAATTTGAAAAAGAATAGATACATGTATACGTTTAACTGAATCGCTTTGCTGTACACCTAAAAGTTAAAAAAGAAATAAAGAATACCTTGCTGAATACGATACAAAAACAAAATCCCCTTGGTACTTCCCTGGCGGCCCAGTGGTTAAGACTCCACGCTTCCACTGCAGGGCGCGGCCAAAACAAAACAAAATAAAACAACAAAACCCAAAAGCCACAAAACAAAAGGCTGATAGATGTGAGTACTTCCAAATTTAAAATCTCTGTATGACAAAGACACCATAAGCAAAGTTAACAGAGATGTGATCTGTAGGAGAAAATATTTGGAATTGATATCATAGACAAAGGATTAATATCCAGAATAAGATAGAGAATAATTTCTCTCTATTTCTTCCTTTTAGAAGTAACAACCTTCCAAGTGTTAGCTAGACACACAGCAGTACAGCCAGACTACATTTCCCAGCTCCCCTTGCAGCCACGTATGGCCATGTGACTAAGTTCTGGCCAATTGGATCTGAGCAGGAAAGGCTAAGCGCAACTGGAAAGTTCCATTCTTGAAAGTGAACAGCCTTTCATTTCCTTCTTTCCCCTACTCAGGGGCTGGAAGGTAGTGACCTTGGCGTAAGGGCAACACCCTAGTGCTGTGGCTCCATACTGTGCCCAAAGTGCCGGGGCGGGGGTGGTGGTGGTGGTGGTGGTGCCACAGCAAACTCATGGGGATGCTATGGGATATCTTAAAAATTTGAGAAAACAAAGTAACATCTGTGTTGTACATGAAATGCTAGCTTGAGTTAGTTCACATTTTCAGCCGTTAGATGGAGAAATTCCTGACGTCTCATCTTTGTGAAGATGGATTTAGAAAGCAAGTGCTGCTGGAATGTGGAGCAGGAATGAGAATGGTGGTTTTCAACCTGTTTTTAAAGTTTGATAAACTGTGCAGTGTGCAAGGGGCACTAAGTTGTTTGGACACAAATACTTATGAAGTTGTTCAGAGATAATTATTTAATAGATGGGATTGTTAGATATTTCTTTTGGCTGAGGTGCTCTGTGAAAAAAATTCTAAGTCCCTGAGGGGTGATGTAATGAGAGAAGGTTTGGAAATTTTTACCGAGCAGTGGAGCAACAAGATAGGAAGGATCTGGGTCTTTGTGTGATCGCATGGATCTCCTGGAGCGGAACTGCCTACCACGCCTGGACTGTCCACCTACCTCTGGACTATCGCATGCGAAAGAAATAAACTTCTTTCCTAATAAAACCATTGTGTTTTGGGGTCTCTCTGTTATAACAGCAGAGCAGACACTGTAGGTGCCCTGCCTGTATCCCCACAGCCCTGCGTGGAGATGGATGGCTTCCTGAGTGTCTGCCTGAGGTGTCCTCTCTGTACGTGGGGCTGGGCTGGCCTATGTGTGGGCAGGCCCGAAGGACTAGGGAGTTACTGTCCCAGGAGTAGCTGCTCCTCCATGGGACGATCCTGAGGCGTGTTCTGTGGAGCCTCTCAGATGATCCCCAGTGGGACTGAGCCCCACATGCCCCCCTCTGCTCATCAACACCTGCTTTCCCGGCTTTCCTCTCCTTTCTCTCCCCCCATCCCTCACCATGTTTCTTGGGAACCTCTCCCCAAACAAACTACTCATACCAAATCCTTGTCTTGGGGTTTGCTCTTAGGGAGCCTGAACTAAGAGAAGCACCTTAGCCTGTTCCCTAACAAATGCATAAAATATGTAAATAATTACCACAATGCAACAAGAAAATGGTAAACAAATAAAAGTGGCAAGGGATAATTGTAAGCAGTTCACAACAGAGGATAGACAATTGGCCAATAAACACACAAGATGTTCAACATCACTAGAAACCAGCCAGCTGTAGGGAAGACAGCCCAGCACGGCAATTAAGCACACTGATTCTTTAGCCCAATGGCCTGAGTTTGAATCACGGCTCTAATACTTTTTAACTCTACGGCCTGAAGGAAAATTATTTAACTTCTCTATGCCTCCATTTCCTCATTTATAAAAGTGGTATTATATTAATAATAGTACTTATCTCATAGAGTTACTATAAAGATTAAATGATAAATATTTAAAAATTTTAAACAGAACGGTACCTGGTACCCAGTAGGTGCTACACAAGTGTGTGGTGAGCAAATAAATAAATAAAACGCCATTTAACCCATCAGAATGTACATATTAAAGGAGCTGATCTGGGAATTCCCTGGTGGTCCAGAGTGTTGTGGCCTGGGGTTCAATCCCTGGTCAGGGAACTAAGATCCCACAAGTCTCATGGCAGAGCCAAAAAAACAAAAAAAAACCAGAAGCCGATCTATCAAATGTTGGCAAGGGTTTGGAGAAACAGGCTCTTTCAGACATTTGTAGTGCAAGAGCAATTTAGTATTTATTAAAATTTAAAACGCCTATTTATTCTGTGGCCCAGAAATTCTACTTCCTGTAGCTGTCCTAGAGAAATACACCTACTTGTGTGTAACAAAGTTCATGAAGGTATTTTCACTTCAGCACAGTCTGTAATAGCAAAATGTGAAATTAACCTAAATGTTTAGTAATAGGACCATTATATTAAAGGTCACAAACTGGAGGCCCTTAGGCTAGATTTGTCCTGAAGGTATGTTGTGCTTAGCCTGAATAGTGTTTTAAAATCTTGAATTAGTTGCCAACATTAAAAAATTTGATTTATGTCATAAAAAGCCAGGTTTTCAAATACTCTTAAAACACTGGAATACAAGTTAACAATCCTTTGGTCTGTGTAAATAAATAGCTACTTCTGCTTAGAACAAAACACACCTGCTCCACTTTGTCACTTTACTGATTTGTTACCTGCATATCCCCTGTAGGCACTAGAGTTTGGGACCCTGGCAGATGAGCTATGGCTCAGCTAAACAATGAATTGCACATAATGAGGTAAATACGATATAGCAAATATATACGTATTGGTGTGGAAGGATCACCAAGACATATTTTGGGGGAAGTAAAAGGAAAGCAAGATGTAGAGCCATTGTGTATAAGATAATGCTATTTTGGTAAACAAAAAATTATAAATGTGTATGTACAATCTAGAATGTAAACTATGAAGTTCAGGGATTTTTCTGTTTTATTGCTATGTTCTCAGTGACTAAAATAGTGCCTGGCATATACTGTGTACTCAATACATATTTGTTTAATAAGTACATATGTATAAATGTATAAAAGAGTCGTGGAAGATACACACTAAATAAGTGATTAATCCTGCCGAGGGACTGAGATTTGGGAGGGGTGATGGTCAAGGGAGGTTTCTGGTTTTGTTTTGTATAGTTTGACTCTTTTACAAGGAGAACACAACATTGTATCACTTGCATAAATTTTAAGAAACGAAAGAAAAGCAGTCCAGCGCAAAATACCACAGGTAATCAAACGAAGATCAAAGTTAGGCTCAAATGAAACCATCCAGAGAAAAAAATGAATGGGGTTAAAACTAAAATTCGGCATTTATGAGTGAGGAAAGCTAATTAAAATACTTAACCACCGGCTCAGAATTAACCAGCAGGGTGAGGAGTCAGCTGGAGACACTGATGAAGTCCAGCCACTCTGCATACGTGATGAGGCTCCATCCATAACCACAGTCCTCCCTGGTGGTATCACATTTTCTGATTTTGGGGTTTTGTTTTTCAACTCTGTGTCCACAAGTTCGTGAAGGCCTTTCACACAATGTATCAGAAAGTGCCCAGCTTGGTAAATTTTTTAAGAAGGAAAAAAAAAAAATTAAGCTGTAAGCTGGGTAGGTAGCAAAGACCGCAAAAGAGAAGCGCTTTAATGCCAGCGTTTGGAGATCACAGACATTTCCCCTCAAAAGAAGGATAGGCCCGGCTCAGTTACAGACAGGTTTTCAGAGGCATCGAGAATAGACTGGTCTCAGCTGATTCAGAGGCGTTCAGGGTAAAAGGGACACCCCACAGGGGACTTGTCAATGCTATGTTTGGAAGCAGCTTTTCTCACTCCAGGTTCAACTATCATTAAACAGCCTTCCTTCTTATCCTCTAGGTTTGGAGTCAAATCAATCGTCATGCTCCCAGGGGCAGGATGTTCAGAGGTGTTCTGAGACAGCAGGAGCAAAGACACTAGGACGGTTCAAACAGGTCCCAACGGTGTGATTGGCAGAAAGCAAAGCGAACTCTGTCCACCACTAAGACACAGGGTGTGAGCCCCTAGGCCTGGGCCGCCCGGGGTCCCTGCTCGGCTGGGAGCCGAGCCATGACTGGGCTCTACCCAGGCCGGTGGGCGGCTCGGTCCGCTTCACAACAGCAGCGTCCTCGCCCGCACCAGGCCTGGGACAGTCTCTTTGTAAGATTTCTGGCAACGGCTCTATAAAGTTGGACCTCCCAGTCGTCAGACTTGACCACATTCTGGAGGAGTCAAGGCGGGAAGCGAAAGACTACTCCGAGGGTGCAGAACACGAGCCGCAGCCCCGCCCCACCAGCTGTCCGCACGCACCTCCGCCGGAAGTCGGCCTGGCCGACGGCGTCGCGTGATGACGTCACGGATCCGCCGGAAGTCTGGGGACGCGCTCTAGAGGCGCGGACCAGGTGCGGTGGCGTTAGACTGGTCTCGGCGGTAAGTCCGCCTTCACTGGGCTGTTAGACACCTGGGCTGGCACAGGGCCCTTCGTCTCCCTGTTTGACTCGCCCTTCCCCTTTGTGTATGGAGCTGCAGCCCCACCTCCACCGCTCCCGGCGCATAGATCTTCTGCACCTCCCATCCCCCCAACCCCCGGTTTCGGCTCCCGGGGAAAGCTCCGGCCAGGCCCACCCGCTGGGATCTTCGGACGGAGAGTAACATCGGGAATGCTTTTCTGTTGGGTCCCCAGCGTGGGCTCCTCAGGTATAGGGATAAACACCGAGATCCAAGGCTCCCGGGATATTTCTTCCCAATGAGCTTTTTGTCTAGAAATCTTACAGCCCCGTACATCCTGCGGGGTCTCAACATCCCTTGACTTCCAAATTCTTTTACACAATGTATTCTGCCCCTGACTCCTAGCCTGTCATATTATGTGAGGGTTGAATTGATGTCTTCGCAGCCAGATCCAGCTTCCTAGAGGAGCCATGTCTCCTGCAGCTTTGGGTGCCACCTGTTGTGCCGGGCGCACGCCGCTGAACAAGAGGAGATGCCGTTTGGATTCTCCGTGAATGTTCGGAGGAGGAATGCCAGAGCTGCCGGCTGAAAACTATCCAAACAAAAGAAATATGTAGGCTGGGGACCCTGAATCACTTCGTGAGAATTGCTGCTCTTTGTTTCCTCTGTCTTATCTCGTGAGGAGTTTCTAGTTTGGTTATCTTAATTGGAAGTTCTGCCCAGAACCATATCTGCCAAGGCCAATATTAACCATTTCCAGTTTCTTAATACAGGCCTGTGTATTGACTCTGGTCCCCCTGGGTGATCCCTGATTGTTGTGGTCACTGTCCTGGAGGGATCTTCATAGGACAGCATGCCTGATCCTGGCTGGGGGCCCCTGACTGCCTCTGGTGGATGCTTGTTCCAAGAGCAATGTCAGCAGATTCTTTTGGGTACCTTCATATCAGTGTCATTGTGAACATTTATATTCAGGGGAGTAAAAGACTGATTTATCGTTGTGGGAGGGAAAGGGGATGCATTTTGCATATTCTTCCCCACTTATTTTGGGATTTGCAGGCAGGAGATGCCACAAGGCAGACCACAGTGGTTTGATTAGGAAACTGAAGGGTGACCAGGTGGGAAGCCCCACTGAGAGACAATTTGTGCTTGAAGGATGAAGAATCCTGCTTGGAGTCACTTAGGGAATTGGAGTCACTTAGGGAATTGATGTCTGAGAATATGTGTTGGACTGTATCCCTCAGTAATAGTCACTCTCCTTCTGTTCCTTTGTAGCCCCAGGATGGACTTTCTGGTTCTCTTCTTGTTCTACTTGGCTTTTATGCTGATTGGTGTTGTTACGATCTGCATCTGCTCGAAAACCCATTGCTTTAAAGGCCTGGTCAGAAGAGGAGCACAGGTAACAGTGATGGTTGGAGACCACGGGATTTTGAATACCACCAGTCTAAAAGGCTCACCAGTTTTCTGTCAGAACAAAAAAGAGATGCCATTTTTTATTCGTTCGTTCACTTGTCCTTTCATTTATGGCACTTGCGGTATATTCGAAAGTCTCTCTCTTTCTGTTTTGTTACTGTTGAAAGTAATCTTTTTTAAACAAATTTATTTAATTTATTTATTTTCCTTTTTTTTTGGGCTGTGTCGGGTCTTAGTTGCAGCACACAGGATCTTTGTTGAGGTATGCGGGATCTCTTCGTTCCGGTGCTTGGGTTTCTTTCTAGTTGCGGCGCTCGGACTTCTCTCTAGTTGTGGTGCGCGGGTTTTCTCTCTCTAGTCGTGGCACGTGAGCTCCAGAGCATGTGGGCTCTGTAGTTTGCAGCACGCAGGCTCTCTCGTTGAGGCTCATGTGCTCAGTAGTTGTGGCACGTGGGCATGTGGAATGTTAGTTCCCCGATCAGGTAATGAACCCGCATCCCCTGCATTGGAAGGTGGATTCTTTACCACTGGACCACCAGGGAAGTCCCAAAAGTAATCTTTTGATGATGCTTTAAGAGAAGATAGCATTCTCAAGGTTGGCTGTTTTTCTCTAGAGTTGATGCCTGTAGTTGGGCATGGATGTGAGCAGTGTCTGCCTGGAGGGGCCTGATGGGTGAAACTGGGGGTAGTGTGAGTAGAAAGCTGAACATCGGGCTGCCCACACTCCTCCAGGGATCAAAGTGAGCAGAATTGGGGTGAGCAGCCTTGGGAAGGGGTTGGCCTGGTGGGGGGACCTGGGCTAATGCTCCGTGATCTGGAGGTGGACTCTGGAACCTAGGATTGAACCCAAGGCAGGGAAAGGCTACATTAACAGTTTACATCAGCATTACCTGATCCAGCCCCTCTGCTCACCTCTCTTTGCCTGAAGACCCTGACTTAGTGCCTTGTTTGGGGTCAGGATGGAAATGGAGGAGTTGACATCATAGGAAGGGCAGCTGAGGGAAGCCCTCCTCTTTATTCTCACTTAAATCTCTTCTCTGCTCACATGCAGAAACATGCCTTAATATCACCAATATTGCTGGCTGAAAGTGAAGCATCTAATTTGTTTAGGAGTGGGGAGAAAGAAAAATGAAACTGAATCTTTCTCTTTTCTTTTGTTTCAGATAATTTCGTATATAATTCCAGAATGCCTTCGGAGAGCCATGCTAAGATTGCTTCATTACCTCTTCCATACACGGTATTTATATTTCAGAGTTTAAGTATTATCTTCTTTTCTGTTTCGATTATTAACTGTTGCTGTCCTCTAGCTCTAGGAGGTTCCTTGTTTGTTTCCAGCGTGATACAGGGAGGGATGCTGCAGGGATCAAGAGTCCTGGGTTCAGAACCTCTACTGACAGATAATCTGCCTTTTATCTCTGGGGTTTTGACATATCAAATTTTAAGTATCAATACTTAAGAATGGGAAAGTATTGACGTGCGTTTCTGTAGAAAGAAATATATACTGAGACCTCAGTTCCCAACAAAGATGATGATGATAATAGATAACATTTATTGAGTACTTACTATGTGGTAGGCACTAGGTGAAATGTTTCACGTGATTTCTAACGTAATTCTTACTGTTGTCTCAAACCCAAAGGAAGTGGTTGTCCGTTGGTTCACCTCCTGTAGTGTGGTGATTTTTTTCACAGAGAAGCCCCTGTGAACAAGTCATGTACCTGTGTCCTTTCAGAAACCACACCTTTGTTATCCTGCATCTCATCTTGCAAGGAATGGTTTATACTGAATACACCTGGGAAATATTTGGCCTCTGTCAAGAGCTGGAGTTCTCCTTGAATTACCTTCTTCTGCCTTATCTGCTGCTGATTGTAAACCTGTTTTTTTTTGCCCTAAGTTGTGAAACAAACCCTGGTAAGTTGAGGCTCTTAGTATAGAAAATGGTGACAGATCAACTGTCTGTCTCACTGACAGTACTACAAACAAGTAGTGATCCCTCCAAGGGCTTTGCAAAAAATTTGGTATGTAGGGTTTGCATGATCTTTCAGTTTTGAATGTTTTCTAGTTTTATTTTTTTCTTCTTTGTCCCACAGATTATTTAGAACTATTTAAACATTATCACTTAATTGTGTTATATACAGAGCTTGCCGTCTATATGAAACTGTTTCTTTTAAAGTTGTTACTGATATTTGCATTATGCCCAGGCATGTGGTCAGTTTCTGTAAATGATCCATGTGTTCTTGAAAAGAGTATTATATTTTCTAGTCCTTGGGCACAGGCAACCATATAAGTCCATTAGATCAAGATGTTAATTATGTCCAGATTTTTTATATTCATACTAATATTTTTGTTTGATTACTGAGAGAGGTATGTGATCTCATCCTGTTGGTAGATTTGACAGATTTTTTCCTTCACATATTTTGAAGCTATTATGTGTGTGTGTATAATAGTTACATATACTCATATTAGATGTATTCAAGTTTAGAATTAGTATTATCTCTTGAATCTTTTTTCAAAATACAGTGAGCCTCTTTGTTACTAGTAATACTCTTTGCTCTCAAGTCTCCTTTGTCTGATACTCATATTTATTATTACACTGTTTTTAGATATATACTTGCTAGGTATTTTTTTTTCCCATCCACTTATTTTAATAAATTAAATTTATTTATTTATTTATTTTAAATTTTTGGCTGTGTTGGGTCTTCGTTGCTGCGCGCGGGCTTTCTCTAGTTGCGGTGAGCGGGGGCTACTCTTCGCTGTGGTGCACGGGCTTCTCATTGCCGTGGCTTCTCTTGTTGCAGAGCACAGACTTTAGCTGTGCAGGCTCAGTAGTTGTGGTGCACGGGCTTAGTTACTCCGCAGCATGTGGAATCTTCCCGGACCAGGGCTCGAACCCGTGTCTCCTGCATTGGCAGGTGGATTCTTAACCACTGCACCACCAGGGAAGTCCCCATTCCCTTATTTTAATCTTTTCTATCCTTGAAGGACCAAATGTCCATTAATTAATGAACATATAAATAAAACGTGATATACCTATTCAATGGAATGTTATTCAACCATAAGGAGGAATGAAGTACTTATACATCCTATAACATGGGTGAATCTTGGAAGCATTACGCTCAATGAAAGAAGCCAGATACAAAAGACCACATATTGTATGATTCCATTTATATGAAGTATCCAAAAAAGGCAAATCCATAGAGACAGAAAATAGATTAGTGGTTGCCAGGGCTTGTGGGATTAGAGAAATGGAGAATGACTGCTGAAAGGATTTGTTTTTGGGGTGATGAAAATGTTCTAAAGTTGATTGTAGTGGTGGTTGTACAACTCTGTGGCTATAAAAACCACGGAATGGGGGCTTCCCTGTGGGCGCAGTGGTTAAGAACCCGCCTGCCAATGCAGGGGACACAGGTTCGAGCTGTGGTCTGGCCCATGTGCCACGGAGAAACTAAGCCTGTGCGCCACAACTACTGAGCCCGCATGCCACGACTACTGAGCCTGCCTGCCACAACTACTGAGCCCGCGTGCCACAACTACTGAGCCCTCACGCCGCAACTACTGAGCCTGCGTGCCACAACTACTGAGCCTCCGCGCCACATCTACTGAGCCCGCATGCCACAACTACTGAGCCCACGCGCCACAACTACTGAGCCCGCACGCCACAACTACTGAGCCCGCGTGCCACAACTACTGAGCCCGTGCACCACAACTACTGAAGCCCACGCACCTAGAGCCTGTGCTCTGCTACAAGAGAAGCCACCGCAATGAGAAGCCCCCGCACCTCAACGAAGAGTAGCCCCTGCTCACCACAACTGGAGAAAGCCCGTGTGCAGCAATGAAGACCCAATGCAGCCAAAAATAAATAAGAAATAAGTTAATTAATTAAGAAAAAAAACATTGGATGGTACACTTTAAATGGGTGAATTGGGTTTATGAACTATATCTCAAAGCTGTTAATTTAAAAAATAAATTATTTGGAATATTAAATACAGCAGTTTTAGTTGTGCTTTGCCAGGACAGATTGTGTGAACATCTGGTCCACTGTATTGCTCGAAACTGACACTTGTCCTTCCTTTTTTCAGGTACCATAACAAAAGCAAATGAATTACTCTTTCTTCAAGTTTATGAATTTGATGAAGGGATGTTCCCAAAGAACGTGAGGTGTTCTACTTGTGATTTAAGGAAACCAGCGCGATCCAAGCACTGCAGTAAGTCTGGCTCTGGCCCCTCCAGCTCTGCCCTCGCACAGCGGACAAGTGGGCTTCACCTGTAAGGGAATGTTGCATAAATCTAGAAGCAGGGCCATTTGACCTCCAGACATGAGGCGGCCTCTGTCGGTAGGGGATAGTTAGATAGTGGTTTCTTTGAGATACCTAGAGGTGAGGTCTTGTGTTCTCCTGTAGTGGGTAACCTTCAGCTCTGGGCAAAACAGCCCTTCCTTTGCCACATGGCAGTGCTTGCTGCTCAAGAGATGTTTCTGTAGGATGTTGTGTTTGCAGACTTCAGTCCTGGCAGAGCCTACTCTTCTGGGCAGTGGCCAAGATTCTAGATTAGTGCTGTCCAACAAAAATATAATGTGAGCCACCGATGTGATTTAAAATTTTCTAGTAGCCATGTTGCAAAAGTAAAAATAAATGAGAAAAATTTATTTTAATTATATGTCACTTAAGGTATCTAAAATACCATTTTGACATGTAATCAGTATAAAAATATCATTCGTGGATTTTTTTTATATTCTGTTTTCATACTAATTCCTTGCAATTCCGTGTTTTTTACATTTACAGTACATCTCAATCAATAGATACTAAATTTTTTTTTTTCTGGTACGCGGGCCTCTCACTGTTGTGGTCTTTCCCGCTGCGGAGCACAGGCTCCAGACGCGCAGACTCAGCGGCCATGGCTCACGGGCCTAGCTGCTCCGCGGCATGTGGAATCTTCCCGGTCTGGGGCACGAACCCGTGTCCCCTGCCTCAGCAGGTAGACTCTCAACCACTGCACCACCAGGGAAACCTGACACTAAATTTTTATTGGAAATTCTTGATCTGTATTTAGATTTCATAAAACTTACAGTTGAAAGAGCTGATTCACATACCGAAGCTATTCTAGACATTCTTAAAAGTTTTCAATGACTGAATCAGTACCAAAACATCATTTTTCTTGGGACTTCCCTGGTGGCACAGTGGTTAAGAATCCGCCTGCCAATGCAGGGGATACGGGTTCGAGCCCTGGTCCAGAAAGATCCCACATGCCGCAGAGCAGCTAAGCCCGTGTGCCACAACTACTGAAGCCCACACGCCTAGAGCCCATTCTCTGCAACAAGAGAAGCCATAGCAATGAGAAGCCCGCGCACCGCAACGAAGAGTAGCCCCCACTCACCGCTGCTAGAGAAAGCCCGTGCACAGCAACGAAGACCCAACGCAGCCAAAATAAATAAACCAGCATTTTTCTTTAATATCCATATCTATATTGACATAATGGTTCGTCTTTATCAGAAGAATTGATTTGACTTTAAAGCAAAAGCATCAGTTTTAAAATTATGTCTGTCCAAGTTAATAAGTTCACTAATTATCACTATAAGTTCACTAAAATTATGTCTGTCCAAGTTAATAAGTTCAGCATTATTCACATTGATCTCAAAGGAGCAATGCATAATTGAAAAACAACTGTGAATTTATCAATATCAACAAAGTATTCTTTCAAGTTTCTCTTGTAGCCACATTTCAAGTGCTCATTACTCACATGTGGCTACTGTATTGGCTACTGTATTGTCCCCTTCGGTTCTGAAAGCTTGGTGACAGCAGCTGCCATTGACACTACCAGCTCATACTGCTAGTGTCAGTGTGTGAAACTCTCAGTAGGAGTGCACGGTGTCATTATCAAGGATCAACGCAGGGTTGTGGCTCCCCCATTTCTGTGCAGGTGTGTGCAACCGGTGTGTGCACCGCTTTGACCATCACTGTGTGTGGGTGAACAACTGCATCGGGGCCTGGAACATCAGGTACTTCCTCTTCTACCTCTTGACATTGACGGCCTCGGCTGCCACCATGGCTGTGGTGAGCACTGTGTTTCTAGTCCAGCTGGTGATGGTGTCGGACTTGTACCTGGAGACTTACATCAATGACTTTGGACACTTGCAGGTGGTTGACACTGTCTTTGTTGTTCAGGTAACTAATATTCAGGTAATTATGTTGTGGGCTGTATGTTTCTGACTTAAGGTTTAAAAATTGGAAAAAGGGCATTTGTTTTCTGAGTCAAAACGTGAAGGCATTCCTTTTTTAAAAAATTGATATATAATTTTTAAAAATCAATATATAATTCACACACCGTAAAATTCACCCTTTTAAAGTATACAGTTCAGTGGTTTTAGTATATTCACAGAACCACAGAACCGTCACCACAATCTAATTTCAGAACACCTCATCATCTGGAAAAGGAATTCTTGTCTATTAGCAGTCACTCCCCATTCCCTTTCTCCCCAGACCCAGGCAGCCACCAGTTTACTTTCTGTCTTTATGGGTTCGCCTTTTCCGGTCATTTCACATAAATGGAATCATACAATATGTAGCCTTTTGAGCTGGTTTCTTTCACTTAGCATAATATGTTCAAAGCTCATTCATGTTGTAGCATGAATCAGTGCTTCATTCCTTTTTGTGGCTAAATAACATTCTGTTGTAATCATTTGAGGAACCACCACACTGATTTCCAAAACATTTGCATCATTTACATTCCCACCAGCAATCTATGAAGGTTCCAATTTCTCCACATTCTTAACAATACTTGTTATTATCTTTTTTTTAATTATAGCCATATAGTGGGTATGAAGTGATACCTTACTGTGGTTTGATTTGCATTTACCCTAATGACTAATGATATTGAGCATCTTTTCATGTGCTTATTGCCCATTAGTATATCTTCTTTGGAGAAGAAAGTTTAAGGGAGAAGCAGCTCATTTTTATTTGGGTTGTCTTTTATTCTTGTGTTGCAAGAGTTCTTTTTTGTATTCTGGACACTTGACTCTTATCAGATACAGGATGTGCAAATATTTTCTCCCATTCTGTTGGTTGTCTTTTCACTTTTTTGGTAGTTTTATTTGAAGCACAGAAGTTTTAAATTTTGATGTTCAATTTATTTTTTCTTTCGTTGCTTTTGCTGTAGTGTCATAGCTAAGAAATCATTGCTTAACCCAAGATCATGAAGATTTACACTTAAATATTCTTTAAAGTATTTTATAATTTTAGCTCTTACATTTAGGTCTTTAATCATTTTGAGTTAATTATTATTATTTTTTTTTTTGCGGTACGCGGGCCTCTCACTGTTGTGGCCTCTCCCGTTGCGGAGCACAGGCTCCGGACGCGCAGGCTCAGCGGCCATGGCTCACGGGCCCAGCCGCTCCGCGGCATGTGGGATCCTCCCGGACCGGGGCACGAACCCGTGTCCCCTGCATCAGCAGGTGGACTCTCAACCACTGCGCCACCAGGGAAGCCCCAATTTTATTCTTTAGTTTGTGGATATCCAGTTGTTCCAGCATCATTTATTTATTTATTTATTTATTTATTTATTTATATTTTTGGCTG